TCCAAGACTATAAACTCTTTGAATACCGTAATTGGTTTGTCAATTTGTTCCGGTATGTAGTTGATGCTCAGTAAATACTTATCATGAAAACAAATGACATATTCAAGACCTGCCTCCTATGACATTCTGTCTTTGTCTCCATGACTACCAGTGAATAGCTAAGTCTTAAGTCTCAAGATGTAGCGTGATTGTTCTGTACAGAGCTGAGTCAGTCAGCAAACTCAGCTGAACTTGTTTGTTTCGTTGTTGACCCCAGGATCTTGCTTCTGTTGTCTGACTATAAATCGTAGCCTGTACCTGAAAGATAAAGAAGGTACACTAAACAATATTTTGAACACCTAGAATTATGTTGAAAGTATAAGAAAAACTGTGAAGCAGTTTTAGAGTGAGGCAGAAGGAGGCTTATACCTCAGTGTGCTGCTTGCTAACTAGCTGCAGGGCCTTAGGTGGGCTGCTTATCCTACACTGAGTAATTTCATTATCTGTCGTTCCCATAAAGTTCAACAGTGATGTACATTGATAAATATAGGACATGCAGCATTTCACACTTATAGAGGCTCCCTAAGTAGTGCTAACAATTACTGACACAACTCTCTTAATGGTTCTTAAAATGTATTTCAACCTGAGGAAGTAACTTGCATTGTTCCAACTCTGTGGCTCTTTTGTAAATGCTTAACAAGAGGAAGTTAGATGGAAGGTTTTTTTTTTTTTTCAGTTCTACTTTCCATTCCGTAGGTCAGCCCACTCAGCACCTAAACCATATGACATGGTGGTAAGAAATGATGAACTTAAGGATGAGATAAACTTAAGGAAAAATAGTTTTCCCCATCCCTTCACAGAATCAGAGGGTCTACCAGAATGATAGCTGCTAGATGTCTACATCCAGAGGAAGCAGGATGGTATTCTAAAGCCATAAAGTGGGGCTCCAGTTCACTTGTCAAATGCAGTGGGCTTGGTTTCTTCAAGTGTCTGAGCTTTCTTACTTGTTTAAGCTCCAATGCCTTATATTTGACTTTTGTTGCTTTTGAAGTTGGGTTTCACTATGTATCTTGGTCCATCCTAGAACTCATAATCCTCCTATCTCAGCTTCTCAAGTGCTGTTATTACAAGGCTGTGCTACTACACCCACCTAAGTGTTGCTTTTCATTGGCATAGGCATTGGCTGACTAAAGGAGTTGTCTCAATTCTGCTGAGCATTATTGCTTTTCGTGTTGTATTGAAACAGGTTAGGAGAGTCTTGCTCAGACAGTAGACCATTGCTGCACACTTGCTTAGTGACCAGACCCTGAACAAAGAGCTTCTTGGTAGCATTCCTGTAGTGCCAGAAGCCACTGAAATAGCGAATATTTTCTGTTATTTATTAGTTTATTCTAGGTATTTGTTCCTGTTTAAATCTTACATTGGCATAACACCACAAACGATATCTTTACTACTGATTTTTTAAAGGCAAAGCATTTGTAACACAATCCTTATAAACATACACACACACATACACACACACACACACACACACAAATACACACACATGAGTATTGATATGAAAGTTTCTTGAGTCATTAATATATTACATTCTGCTCCAATATATTTTATTGCAAATCTAGTAAAGTTAAAAACCTTTAAAATTGATTTTTTAAACTTACCACGTGGTCACAGATTGAAGTTTGCAAAAGCTCTGGACCTAGGCAATCTAGCAACTTTTATTTTTGAAGCCAAATATGCCCCCTGTCCCCTGTTCCCACTACCATTCTTGACTGCACATTCTCTCATCTCTCTAGTGATCTCCTTCCTTTGGTGATGATGATGTGTGTGTGTGTGTTAATCCTTTGCTCTGTTTTTGTTGAATTTTCTTGAAGATACTATCCGTTCCCATGGTTACAAACTATTGTTGCTATTGTAGGAATTAGTAAATAAATATTTCCATGTTTGAGTGCCCTCCAGCATTGTGGGTGGATGTTGGCAGCTGTATTCTGACCAGTTTCAGGCAGCTTTCACATAGTAAATCTTGAATTCAGCATGTCCTAAATGAAAGCCATTATTTTCTCTAAAGGTATGTTTTCCCTTCTTAGTCAGTTAGTGGCTTTCTTGTGCTTAGAGTTACCTAGCCTAAATGTTTCAGGTAGTCCCCTAGCTCCTCTTTTTCTTTCTTTTCTATTCTGTAATGACATTTTTTTGAATAGTAATGATCATCTCAGTTTTCCATCGCTGACATCATATGTAAGTATTAAAAGCAAATGAATGACGTCTCATTGTGTAAAAGCTTGAATTTGAAATCTTTAGATTATAATACTTTGGTCTTAACTATCATCTACTTTAGTTTGTGCTTCATCATAAATATTGATTCCCAAATTACGGCCTTCAAAGTAACAGTGCTTCACTGGTACCTCAGGACTCAGTTTCAATTTGGCTGTAACTTTGATCATGTCATATGATATTACCATTAGGATCATATTTATTTCTTATATCATCATGCTATTTAGTACAATCTAGAGAATTAAGGACAGAAGTCATCTTTCATGTCCCTGTCAACAGTCAAAGAATGACCAAGCCCACATCAGTTCATTACCAGATCACTTATTAACATGTTTTAATGTGCACATGAGGATTTAACATGTTTTAATGTGCACATGAGGATTTGCTAACACAGGATCCCAATTCATCAGGTCAGGGAACAGGCTTGTTCACAGTCTACATTTCTGTTCAACTCTCAACAAGTGTGAGGTTGCTGGTAAAGACTCATATTCTGAGCAGCAAGACTCTAAGTTTCCTTTAGCCCATCCTTTCTCCTCACCTCTACTCTGTTCTCTGAACCTATTATCTTGTTTCTTGCTCCATGGCGAAAGTGTTCTGTAGATCAGTTATACCAAGTCTCTTGTCTCTGTAGACCTAGCTGGTGATCTAGACCAGGTTAGGCACCTACTTTGAATATCCCTTATCTTTTCCTATTTTTCAAACTTCTATTCTTCTCCTCTAACCTGTTTTGGCTTTTCTGTCTTCCTATGTAATATCCTTTGCTGTGTTATTCAACAAGAAGGCATTACCTAATAACAGGAACATGTTTGGCCCATGCTTTAAGACTTACCAGACTTCAGTACAATGAACTAAATAAACCTGTGTTCTTTTTAAATTACTTAGTCTTACGTAATTGTCTTAGTAATGGGAAGTAAATTAAAATCCCTACAGAGGAAATTATTGGCTTACAGACAACTGCAACATTGAAGAATGCTGTTTGTTCATTTTGGGAATAGATATATTACATACGATCCTGGTAACTTATTCTTAAGGCAAGCAGTGATGTGTTCCCATCATCTCTGAAGACTGGGAAAGTAGACCAGAGGGATTAGACTGTCCCTTCTAGGCTACACACACATGTGAACAGACTTGTGCCCCAAACCAGAAATTCTTTTTTCGTAATGTCATACAGACTTTTTCATCAGCCACTTTCTTACCTCAGAGTATTCTTTGCAGTATGTTGCCTGATATTGAGACAGAGCCAGCAGCATGAAGAAGACAAAATGAATGAGAAAAAAGTAAAAGTAAATAAAACAGAAACAAAGTATTTGAGATATAATTGCATCTCCTCTTAGCCTCTAGTATTCTTATGATACCAAAACACACGGTGCAGACTCAACAGCAGAGACAATCCCTCAGCTCAGTGAAACTAGCACTAGAAAAGTCTCAAGTCAGTGGAGCCAGATTTCACTGTGAGACTTCCCACTAGTCACTCATAGCCATCCTTTTCTCCCCCTAATTGAATTTTGGCTTCTGCAACCCTACTTTTCTAACTCCATGGAGATTGACAAAACCCAGATGCTACAGTACATAGTCCCTATGTTGTGATAGGACAGAAAAGAACCAGAACTTATGAAAGTAGCTCAGCATCTAGAGGAAAGAGTAGGGCAGCCAAATGGATTAGGAGGGAAAAAAGTACGTGAGTTAGAAGACAGAAAATGTTTGAGAATGGTCCAGCAAGGCAACTACCCCACTAGACCACCAGCCAAGTCTCTAGGGATCGCATTGATGCATCCTCTACATCCATCATTAATACTTCCCAGTGTGCACATGAGGATTTGTTAGAACAGGATTCTAACTCATGAGGTCAGGAGTAGCCTGGATATTCTACATTTCTCTTTGGGACTCAGCAAATGTGGGGTTGCAGGTAGAGTTACATACTGAGGAGCAAGGGTAATAACAATCACAAGTGACTTCCTGGAACCCTATTTTCATCGTCTCATGTAATTTCAATCACTTCCCCTAAAGCTTCACATTGAAATGCCATGGACATATGAATTAAGTCCCCAGTGAACACACTCAGGAGGATACATTCAAAGGATAGCACTGAGAGTGCTATCCTGCACTCTCAGATACCGGGAACAAATGGAGGGATCACTAAAAACTGGCACAAGAGAATGTTTTTATTCTCCTCTACTTCAGTTTGCTACCGAAGTTGTGAAATTCTTCTGTGGGAGAAAGCAGTGTGCTTGGAGGAAAGGCCCCATCCTGAGGAAGCAGCTTCTCCCAGTGTGCCTGTTTTCCAGTGGGTCCTAGGCATGAGTGGTTCAGGAGGTTGACACTAAACTGCTGTGTTCCCCGTGCCTTCTAACCCCGTCCCTCCCAGTCATCCATCAGAGTTGCCACATGTTTTCAAGTACAAGTCAAGAAACTTAACACTGGCTGGTAAGAGCAGCATCTAAGAAGAAAAAAATAATGCTGTGTAAAGAAGTTGCTGGAAGGTGGGAAGTGATGTGGGAACGGAGGGTATTTTCAGCATCAGAGGGGAACTCTGAGACCTATTTGGAAGATAGATACCTCAGTTAATGTGATTTCTACATTTATGCCTCTTTAATGGTCACCGGAGATCAATAGAATGCCTTCTATGTGTGGTTAATAATGACTCTGATAGGTGGCAGCGATGAACATGCTACCTATGGGATACACGGGCTAACAAAAAAAGACCATTGAACATTGACTTTCGCTTTTCTTTTTCTTTGTTTCCCCCCCAGGGCAGCCACTGAAGTTTTGGCAGCATTGCTGAAATCCAGTAAGCATCTCTTTAAAAGAGGGGGTTATCTCTTCCTGTTCTTATTTGTGTAATGGGCACTCTTTTGTTCTATGGCTCCATTCTGACCTGTGAAGAAATAGAAAGTCATGTCTCAAGTCTGCTGGAGAAAGAGACTTTGGTGACTGTAGAAAATAAGAGTGAATATATCTCCATGTGGACCTGTCCACTTATAATCTATGATTGTTAGTGTTGTCAAGTGGACAGACTCCAGAATCACCTGGGAGAATGCTCTCTTGGCTTGCATGTGAGGGATTATCATGACTGGATTAACTGAGATGAGAAGATCTGGCCAAAGTGGGTGCCACCATTTCCTGGAAGGGTCCATCATTTGTTGTTCTCTGCTTCATGTAAATAATATCGCCAGCTTCTTCAAGCTTCTGGTGTCCTAGTTTCTCTGCCATGATCAACTACACCTTGAATTATGAGCCAAGATAAACCTTTTCTACCTTGGGTTGCTTTTGTCAGAGTATTTTAACACAGTGAGAAAAGTAGGTAAGACAGACAACTGTCCCTAAAAGGGAAGTAAGTTGTCTATTGCAGCCCTGGGGACTCTTCATTCTTTTGGACAGAGGAAACAATCCTTAAGCATTCCTAGAGTAAATCCCAGCCCATGGGACTGTCCAGTGGAACAAAAGTTTATGTATGAGAGGGTAGGTAGACAAATCTTGCATTTGGTTTTTAACTTAGTTCATGACTCTCTATATGCTTGGGCAGGTAGGGTGTTGAGAATTACTTGGAGAATGTACTGGTTGCTAAGGTTTTATTTTTTTATTAAAAAGTTATTTTTTCTCAACTATGTGAGTGATTGCAAAAGAATAGCTTGGAGGTTCTGAATTATTGTGAGGGTCTTTTTTTTTTTTTTGCCTTGTGGCCTTAGACTAATTACATTGGAAGTCAATTTCACGTGTGCAATATAATGGACAGCATGATGCACTTGGGAGTGAACTCTCGGCTTAATGTTTTTATTCCTCCCCTCCTTACTATTTCATCTGTTTTAATTTGGTACCTTGGAAACCACCATCTTCAATGGTGATATTTGTTTCTCTATAGGGAGCCCGGGGCCTGTGTGTAATAGGTGAACTTTAATAAAACTTATAAATAAATAAATAAAAATAAAACACTCTTTCTCCACCACCCATACATCTCTGTCACCCAGAAGCATGAAGAATAAGCCAAAGCACATGTCGTTTCCTTTTATAGACTGGAGAGGAAAATGAAGCTTGAATTTATTTTGTTGGTTGGAACCTCATCCAGTAACAGTCTATCCACAAACACAGCTTTCAAACGTGGGGCAGGTAGAAGGCAGTGGGATTAGACTAGGAAGGGAAGGGAGGGAGTCTATGGTCTACTTAAGATGGAGAGATCTCACTTGTGGGTTCTGGGGAGGAGCTGTTGATCCTTCAGAGTCAACTAATTACAGGTTTAAGCTCTTGATTCTTATCATGGCAGACAGTGTCATTCTCTACCCAAATGCTTGGCGTTGGATGAAGGGCAAGGTATACAAAGGAAATGAGTTTTTCTCCCTGGGATACCAGTGAGTGCAGTGCTTTGGGACAGGAGCTTTGTCCTGAGTCTTGCCAGCTCAGCTTTGGCAATAGAAAATGTGACCCTTCCTGGGAAGGGAAGCCCGAGGGCTAAGTAGGACCATCTTACCTTCAACACACAAGCACATTTAGACCTTAAATTTGAAGTTAACTAGCCTCTCATAAAATATACCTATGTTGTGAAAAATCTGAAAGTCATCTCATATTCCTTTAGTGATAAGGATCTTAGGATCTTACTCTAAAATTCTAGTAGTGTAGAAAACCAGTAGTATGTGCAGATATGAGCAGACTCAGCCACACACTGTTTGCCTGGGTCTTCCTTCCACTGGCCATGCTTAATAAGCTGAGCCTGCAGTGGTAGAGGGCTCAGTGCTGAGTTTTCCAACTTACGTTCTTCTTTTTGGGCAGTGGTTCTCAACCTTCTAAAGGCTGTGACCCTTTAGTACTGTCCTCATGCTGTGTTGACCTTCCATTATAAAATTATTTTTGTTGCTACTTCATAACTGTCATGTTGCTACTGTTATGAATCATAATGTAAATATCTGATATGCAGGATATCTGATCTGCAACCCCTGTGAAAGTGTCAGTTGACCTCACCCCCAAAAAGGGGTTGCAGCACATAGGTTGACAAACACTGTTTTAGAAGTTGGCTTTTGACTCTCCTCCTTCGTAGAATATTCTTTGGATCACTTGGTTGGGTGCCCCTGCTTTCTGTTTCCTTAGGCTTTCCTAACTCAATGCATTGCTGTCACTGTACAACTTTTCTTCTTTTTGTCTTTATCTCTCAACAGGAGCTTTTAAGGGACAGGGGTTATCTCTATTGATCCGTATGTTTCTTGTATCAGCACAACAAGGCTGAAAGCACATATTTGTTGATTACAATTAAACGATTGATTTGTGATATTTACCCACACGAAATAGCAAGATTGCTCCCTACAACCTAAATCTAACAATCCATGCTTGGAACCAATGGTCTTAACATTTGTAGTTCTAATCTCTGTTTACTTTACTAATAGGCTGCTAGGGAACTGAAAGCCTGCTGTCTTCTACATATAAAGCAGGCTTTACCATCCCATCAGGAAGATATATGGGGTTATCTGCTAATTCTGCTGAGCTGTCCATATGGGTCTTTGTCTGGGTCTTTGGTTGTTTATTCCACAAAACAGTTGGATCGGAAGTTCTCTAAGATTCCTCCTCCCACTAAGTATAAAACCTTCATTTATATCAGAGTCTCTCATCCTTGGCACCACTGACATTTTTGAATTGGGTAATTCTTTCTTGCTGGGATCTGTTCTATGCATTGTGGAATATTTAGTGACATCCCAGATTGCTATGTAGTAGCCCTTGGCATTGTGTTTAGATGTAACATCCCACCCCACCCTATGGGAATCAAAGCTGCTTCCTTTTGAAAATTGCCAATACGTATCTGGGTACACACAGGGCTAAAATCCACCCAAGGTTTCAAAATTTCCTTCCCAAGATACCTTTCTTGGTGTTTAATAAAACTTTTCTACGGTTCCCCAGCATCAAGCATCACTCATATGCATTCGTAAGCAGCAAGAACACAGAAGGGAGACCAGTATTACACACGTTCACAAATTATGTGGAGGGGACCCTGCTGGAGCCGGGAGGTTCTATCACGAACAGCAACTCTAATGTGTAGGCAGAAGGGTGCTGAGATCATCTGTGAGCTCAGCGCAAAAGAAGGCTTCACTTAGATGGCAAAGTTAGACCATGGGCTTGAAGTGCAATTACAGCCTACCAGACAGTTGCCACTGTTGTTCCACCAGCCCAACCAAAGTATACATGGCATGAGATATCTGGGCATAGATGACACCAATCCACCTAGGCTGGAGTTCTTGCAGGGCTTTGAGTGTTTTGGAAATTTCTAGTCATTTTATAATGTCTAAATGTCACGTGTATTTAAATCTTAACATGGACTATCTTTTGACGTGAATTGAAAACTGTTGAATCTATCAGTTGAACTTAAATGCAGGATGTTAGATTCTGTCTAACATTCAAAACTGTATGTGCACAGCTCTCCTGGAACATTTATGCAGACTTTATCTATAAAAGGCACATTTCCTTTAGGTGGCAGCTATTCTGGTTTGATGTTTACTTGTCGGCTAGTATAAAAAGTGGGCAGTTCTAGTAGATCTCAGTAACTGCATCACAAACAGACGACATTGCCTTGTCTAAATTAAACTAGAACAAAATATTTACTGGTTGGGGTTAGTCAGTCAGTGTGTCTATGACCATCGTCAATATGAGATCAGGCTTGGGAATCTGAGGTCACTAAGATCCTATTTATTTGTGGCTGACTGGAGTCAATCCCCACTAGTGGCAGAAAAACCAAGACTCAGTTCTTGGAGGTACGGGGCCTGCCAACAGCAGTGGACAGGGAAAGGAAAGAACTATGGACCACATTAGGGAGAGTTTATGATTTTCCTTGGCTCTCTCCCTCCCTTATCAAACAGGCTAGAGGTCATGTACCCAGCACGGGAGATGAGGACGGTAGGAAGAGAAAGGAGGCAACAGCATTTCAAATCTCAATTTCTGATCAGGCAAATCCTGCACAAAAAATATGAGGCCTCATGTCCAGTTATCTCAACCATTTGACACTACATAGAAAAAAAATCATTGTACATTCGAGAGTCCATCTGTCTCCGACTTTTAGATTAGGATGGCCTGACCACATCGTCCCTCGAATCAGTTCATTTCTCTGCTCACACATGCACACTCCCCACTAACCCTCTCCACTAAATGTTTTCTGTACAGAGAGCTTGCCTTTTTTTGTGTGTGTGTTTTATTTCTATCCAAAAGCACTTAGCTTCTTATTATAGAAATTTAATAGAGATTTGATTAGGAAATCACACTACTCCGATTGCTTGTGTTGTTTTTCTCTAACAAGCCTAAACAACTCTCTCTCTCTCTCTCTCTCTCTCTCTCTCTCTCTCTCTCTCCTCCCCCTCCCTCTTTCCACTAGGCTTTTGTTTCTCTCACTTCTCTCTCTGCCCTTCTCTCTCACTTCCATATCCCTCTCCTGTTATCATTGTGCCCGCAGTCTCTCCCTCTTCCCTTTTCTTTCTTAAACTCCTTCCATGAGCATTACCCATAAATGCACTTATGAAAAATCGTGACCACGGAAGCAGCCTTTGAATGAGGTACAGCAATGGGACTCTAGTTGATTTGTACTGGCTCCAGGGATGAATCTTCCAATAATGGCCTGGCATTAACCTTGCTACCCAGATTGAAAGGTTATAATCTTGCAACAAGAAAACACCCTCTGGTTCAGGTCCTAAATCTTACTGAGGGAAGAGGAGTCCACTTCATACTTCTTTTCTACTTGAGAATTAGCATTTGGAGGACCCAGGAAGTGTGTAGAAGTTAGGGAAAAAGAGGAAGCTGAGAGAAGTCAACAGAGAAAGAAATACA